AGGAATTAAAAATGACAATTTAAAAAATATATTGAAAAAAATATTGTAAACTTCCGAGCTTTGTAAGGTTTGGGTATTTTTCGTAATGAGTTTATTCGTTTCAGCTTGATGATCGAAAATGGGTCTTCCTAAATCTGTTTGATCTCTAGGCATTCCTAGAATACTTAATTTTTCTATTTCGCGAGTATTTTCAAAAATTAATAAAAATCTTAATTTATGCAAAAATAGGGATGTTACACAAAATTAATGAGTTAAGAATTGTATATATATTGAAAAAAAAAAATATTATGAACTTCCGAGTTTTCTAAGGTTTTGGTATTTTTGGTGGTAATGAGTTTATTCGTTTCAGCTTCAAAAAAATAAAAGTTTTGGAAGAGAAAGGGTACAAATAATTTTACAAAATTTTCAATTTTTACAAAATATCAATTTTTGCAAATTTTAAAGCCAATTAAACGTATATAGGAATACCATAATTATTTTTTGTGAGCATCTCTAGCTTAAAAAAAAAAAAAAAAAAAAAAAANAGACTCCATCTCAAAACAAAAAAAAAAAAAAAAAAAAAATGCTGACTGGTAGTTCTTGTTTTATTTGAAGAGTAGACAAATCCGTAACGTTTTAGAGACGCAATGCAAATTATCAAACATTTATTGAAAGTTAAAATTTTGTAAGAAGTGAAAATTTTATGATTCATAAAAAGCTTAAAAGAAAACTTTTACAAGTGTATTAAATAAATAATCCCAAGAAACTGAAGCGGTAAGATTACCTTTATTCACTTCAAAAAATATACGAATTGGAAATGGCAGTCGGCATACATCGAGCCCTAAAAAACAGGCACCCATTTTCAAGACTTGCCAGACATGAATGAAAAGGAACGAAAGTAATTTGAAATAAAGCGTGAAGTTGTGCCCATGGAAAATGAAAAAATAAAGGGAAGAAACTAAACTAGAAAAAAAACCACAGTAACTGAAAAAGAATAAAAAGAGGAAAAAGCAGAATAAGAAAAACTCCAGTGATCGAGAGGGGCAAATCAGAGTAAAATGCATTTCCACGCGTTATGAAGACGTGGTGAGGAACTAATGTCAAGGAAATCAGCATTTATATTATGAATAAAACAAGATTCCAGAGCATCAAGTTAAGCTTGGCACGGAAATAATTTTGACATTGTAACAATTGAATTTATGTCCAAGATTCCAACAATGTTCAGCACTTGATGATTAATCGTATTCTTGATAACGGGCATATTTATCTCGCTCCTTAAGTCTAAATTATAAAACGCGTCTAGTTTGCCCGATGTATCTAGAGTCCAGGTAAAAGTTCATTTGTGTAAATGTGAGAAAGAACTTGTATTTAATAAATACACTTATTAATAAATACACTAATGTAATTAATAAACACACTTATATTTAATAAATTGCTTTTTGAATGCAAACAATAAACTTCTTTTTAAATTATAAAATTTAATAAGACACAGCATAAATAAATACACAAAGAAATGTCTATTTTCGAATTAGATTTGTTGATAAATTGGCAGAAACTGATTAAAGTATCCAATATGCATGTCAAATATGAGATTCGTATTGCCGTTTACAAAATTGAAAAGAAAGAATTACTTATTTATAATTAATGTTAAATAATTATAAATAAGAAGTACCATAAAAAGGAATTATGGGCAATGCGTTAATAATTAACAAACGTAAATTCTTTTAATTTCGTTAACGATTTCGCTGTTTTGGGATTTTTTTAATAAATGCTTCTACAACAATAATGCACCCCATTTCGTTTTTTTTTTTTAAAAAAACTCTAGCACCTTCAATAAAACTCTTTGACTTTTTCATTTATCTTCTAAGTACATTATTATCATATAAACGTAAATTATTCAACTCAAAAGTTAAAAAAAAATAATAATTGAGTTTTTCAATAAATCTTTCATTCAAAGAAATTATAAAATCTAGATCCATTTTTCTAGTTATTATATTCTTTCAGTTATGCGCAGGTTCAGCCACTTTTTCATTAAAAATGGAAATGAATTATCCTTTGAATTATCCATTCAGTTTTATGTACTCTAATTGAAATGCTATCCAGTTGTTCAATCCATTCTAAATCAACAAATATTTTTATATTTCACGCTAGCTTCAATTGAATTGTTCATTTTTTGTTCTAGTAAATCATGAGACGGAAATTTACGTCAAAATGGGTAAAGCATCGTTTTCTTTCATATATATTCCTTTGAATGGTTCGGAAAATGGGTAAAACCTTCAAAAGAATCCCGACCACTCCCCGCACTTAAGTGTGTAGGTGTGGCGAAATAACAATGCTAAAGATCACGATTCTCTTGCTTGAGATATAATTTTGATTTTTCGGATGAATACTTAAAGAAAATTTATGGTCTAATCCATTTTCTTCCACAACTTGTAAAATAAATAATTTCTTGCAAAATTACATCTACTTGTAAAATTTTCGCGATCCACAATACCGGAATAACTTTCAAATTCGCTTAAGTTTAACGGGGTTGATTAGTTGAACCATACTATCGTGCAAAATAAGTTTTTATGGTTCAACAATAATGTACTGTTCATTTTCGATGTAATGCCGATGTTGGCAATAACGTGAACTGCAATAACGTGCAAATTCGTTTAACTTTAGCGTGGTTGCTTAGCTGAACCATACCATCGTGCAAATTTTGTTAACAGTTTTTATGATTCAACAATAACTTTTTTTATATACTGTTCATTTTCAATGCAAAACTAATGTTGACAAGCGTTATCAAACAAAGGTTGGTACCTCCTGAACACTGCAAAAAATTCCGGATCAAATTACGGTATAAATTATCTGCACTTTGGGTGCTTTATCCGTAAAATCCATTTTATCGTAAAATCTATTTTTAAAAATATAATAAAATATTATACCACAATTTTTGCAGTAATATTTATTTAATTAGAGTGATTCAGTGATTTTATGGTAATTATTTCGTGAAAAATAACGACACATCAGATTTTTTGTTTTGTAAAATGTTCCGGTAAAAATGGATTTTACTGATAAAAGTATCGGCTTATGCCTTTTGCATATGCAGTATGCTTTTTGTAAAAGTATATGATATATTGAACTCGAAAATAGTGTGCAGATTTTCCTTCTCACATTCTATTTGTATTATCATATTCTCCATTTATGCTTCTTGTAAAAAAGCAAAAGACTTATTGTACTAAAAAGATAGGGGGCAATTTTCTCTCTGACAATTCTATTTATGTGATCTAATTCTCCTTTTGGAAAAATCTGAAAGAATATTTGTGAATTTGCGTGATCATGCTCTTTTTTTTTGGGGGGGGGGAGTAAAAAACTATGCATCTTGTATGAAAATCAAAGAAATATGATGCTTAGTCAAAGCACAGTAATAAAATTTAAATAATATCGGTTATTATTAGGAAAGTTAGCTCTCCACATCCAATTGATCAAAACTTCAGCATCGAGGAAGAGCTAAAAAGTGTATTCGGTTAAAAAACGAGATTACATAACGTAACGCATGACAGGCAGTTTCCGAACAGATTTTTGGGAAAGAAATTATTTTCGTAGCAGCAGGTCAATCAGTCAGGTGGGGCAAAATAAACCGGTTCAAAATAGTGTAATCCAACTTTTTCCTTTATCATCTGCCAAAAGAAAAAAAAAGTTATTATTATTATTTTTTATTAAGTATTGCGTGATGTGACCGGATGCCGTTCTTTTCAATCAAAATGGCAACATTCGATCGATTGCCGCAAACGCAAACGATAATAAGCAGCTCTAGTTGATTTGTTGTTAAATTTAGAATTGCAATTTAAGTTCCACGCTTTTGTTTTTATGAGTTTTCCTCGCCTGTTGGAAAACTGTTATTTGTATTTATATTTATTTTCTGATGTTAAATATGATTAAACTGGGTAGAAAAAGATATAAAGAGAATTCGTTGATTGGTATAGAACTCGTCTATATTAATAACATCTCTATTATATAACATCTATATTAATAAGATGCTCAACTTTAAATAAACATAGGTGATTAAAAAGAAAGTTATTTTTATGCACTTATTTGATTTTTTTTTTTAAAAAAAAGAAAAATTGATTTATACAACTGATAAAATAATAGTGGGATTAAAAAAAAAAACATTTTAAAATTAGGCACTCTTTGCTAAAATTCAAACTTTCTTTAATCAAAACCAACCTGAATAAAACAGAAAAAAGTATATAAATCATTGGATATTATAATTTTTTTTCAATAAATAGTAAAATTTGCCCACAATTTGCTGGAAAATGTTAATTTTTATAAACAAACACGCATTTTCCCAAATTTTAACCCAATCAGGTTATATAGATTTCGGTTAGCTTTATGATTTTCATGCAGATTTTGGATTATTTAAATGTCAATTTTCATACTTATTTGGTCTACTGTTACTTATAGTTTTGAACTTGAACAGTAAATATTTATATTTATATTTGAAAATAAATAAAAAAATAAAATATGCGTTTTTAAACCTCCGTCACTCCCCCGAAAAAAAATCCGGACTTATTCCGGGAAACCTAAATATTTGTCTATTACTTAAATGTTATTTTTGTCAAATTATTATTACTATTTAGATAATCTATTTTATTGAAATTTTGAATTTAAAAAAAATGCTCGTTACTGTCGTTTTAATATTTATGCTGTGAAGAATGAAACATTACTTAGAACTAATTTTTGCCTATTTTTCCAAAAAAAAAAGAAAAAGAAGATACACTTGACGGTATATGATTAATGGATTATATGATAAGCTTGCATAGTATTTAAAATAATACAATTAACTTGAAAAACGGCAAAACGGTTAGAATTTTCAATAGAATCCCCCCCAAAAGAAACTGAACTTATTTTTTGTATACATTTAATATACATATTATTTGGTTACCAAATAAATTATATTTTATGAATGTTATATATTTCCTTTTCTGTGCTTAAAAGAGTATTCTGATTATTAATAATTATTGATTGTTTATTTTTAGTTTTGGCCTTGGACCCCAGCAGAATGGGTATCGTTCCGAATATGCAACTATGGAACCGTATGCTGCTAGTATCATTAAAGTCATCACTCTAAGAAGAAGGGGTACAGCTCCGCTTGGATTTTCAATCCGTGGAGGTAAGCAAAGGAATTGTTTTTAATATATTTTTATACAACGTAATTGTCTGCAGTGCGTGTATCGTCATACATTGTGTCCTACATAAACAAAGCCACCTCTATTTCGTGTGATAAATGCACACAAAATAGACCAATTGAGCAGAACAGAAATGATAGGGCTGGGATACACTGGTTGGTAGGGCACTGGGCCCATGTCCAAGAGGTTGTGGGTACGATCCCTGCCGCCGGAGACTCTCCGTGTTAAATCTGTCAAGTCACAAAGTCCTCCATGCTCCTGTAACAAATCATACCTCTGGGGGTACTGATCCAGGAGTTTCCTTGTCTTCTGGATTGGTTCAAAATTACAAGGCTACGAAATTGAACATTAGTAGGCGTAAAAAGATTGGGTGGGCTGTTCAACAATGGTTACGAAAAACAAAAAACAAAAACAGAAATGATAAAAATGATTCAAAAGGAGTGACTTACTTTCTGCTCCTCTTGGAGTAGAAAGTCTATCGAATTTGTAGGAACGGAGGGAGAAAAGTGCCCCACTGAAATAAAGCCTCCACTGTTAATCCATTTTAGGTCAAGCATAGATATTGTGGTATTATTTTCATTGAAATATGCCTAAAGTACATTCATTAAGACACAAGAAAGAACTTTTCGTGCATGAAATTACTTTGCTTGAATAAAATGGTACTTATATGCACTATTGGTCAAATCAATGGACAAACCATTTAGCTGAACACGATTTTTTTTAATGAAATTTGTTCTATTTTATTTACAGAACTTGCAACTATCAATCCATCATAACACATGATTAATCTCAAAGGCAATAATTCTACATTTTCAAAAAGTCATTTTTTTCAACAACCGTTTCAAGTCGAGAAACTATAGAGTAGTTTAAAAACTTGTCAACAGAAAGTGTTTACTCCAATTGAATTACTAATATTTTACAGATTTCTTCAGAAGGCGTGACAATAACAAAAAATAAAATTAGTGAAAAATGTAAGTCACAGTGATAAAAAGTACTTTTTGAATTGATGCGTCTATGCACCTTTGGTCGAAAATGAGTTAATAGCCTATATATCCGCCATATTTATATGCATACAATGCTGCATACCATTTACCAGTCCCTGGGGAGGGTAGTCCCTACAATATTATCCCAGGTTTCAATAATACTGCTTTTGGTGCATGCAGCCCTACTTAGGATACCCCTTCACGTTTTTCTGGGGATTGAGATCTGGGAACAGGACAGGCTATTCCATGATATGCACACTATTATATAAAAACTATACCAGTGAAGATTTTTCACCATGAATTTAGCTACCATTGTTGAACAGCCGACCCAACTTTGGGTTTACTACTAACAATGTTCAACTTCGTAGCCTTGTGATTTCGAACCCGATCCGGAAGAAAAGGGAACTCCTGTATCAGGTATTGAAAGAAATTTGCCTTCGTTTATTACATTAAACATATACATATTGATGTAATCACTTTGTCTTCTTTTCAATGATTGATAAATACCTTTCAAAATGTCATTTACCTGATTTTTCTACAAAGCTCTTCAATTGTCCCGGTATTTGCTTTTCAGATTTGTACATGATTTCGTACAGTTGTTCAGTACTGATTAATTGAAGGGCTTTGGGGGCCACTTTAGGCCCAGAGGCCATAGGTTGGACATCCCTGGATTCATTGTTCGCACAGATATTATTACTTCATAAACTATTAGGGCAACTACATCGCACAGAGGCATTCAATGGAATGTGTAACATAGCCAACGGCTAGTTAAAACTGATGGAGCATTGTTCAGAATTAAACACGAAAAAAAAGTGTAATGAGTTCGACATTAGTCAATTCATTCACATAAAAAAATAAGAACATTCAATTCATTTCCGAACGTTTTTTAACAAGTTCTTGCCATAATAGTAGCAATTAGTGTTTGAAGATAAAGAAACAGATTAAAATAATAGAGAGAAGTGTTTTGGGTTAGGAAGGAATTGTTACCTTGTGTCACGCCTGGTTCGTAAATGAATAAATAAAAAAGAATATATGTCGATTAGTGATGCATTTTTATTGATGTCTTATTCGCATTAAATGAAAATAACTAGTTTTAAATGCATTATTAAATATTTGATAAACATTTTGCATGGCTTTAATTGCTAGGTCCTTTGTTCTTCTGCCTACTTTTGGCGTGTAGCTAATTATATACCGTGTGTAACTATATTATTTTTTTTAATTACGACATTCTGTTTTTTAATATTGAAAATTGCAGAGATAAATATGAAGATAACTATATATATTGTGTCGTCTCTTTGTCTCTCAAAATAAATAAATAAATAAAATAAAACAAAATAAATAAATAAATAAAATAAAACAATAAATAAATAAAATGAAATAAAATATATAAAATAAAATGTTAAACGTAATACGAGGCAAAATTTCTTTATCGATTCAAAATACGATGCAATAAGATTTAATACATTTCAAAATAAGGTGAATCGGTAATAAAATGTCGATTTAATACGATTAAAAAAACGATTTTTATGATTCGTAGGATTTAATACGATTCGATTTGATCGTATCGATTTAATGCAGTTTTTGATAAGGTAAAATATCGATTTAATACGGTTCAAAATAAGGGGATAAATTAAATCATGTTCAAGTTGAATTATTGTGTAATATTATTGAATTATTGTGTGTTCACCATTGGACCCATTAAGATTGCACCAAAATGTTATGATACAGTTTAGCATGCTCCAAAATTTTTAACTGTGTTGACTAGTAATTTTATTTTTGTGAAGAAATATTGTTAATTTCTGGATTCCTTGAAATGTTTATCGCATAAAAATAGTAATAAATTAATTTTTATGTAAACAACAACTTTTCTGTGGTTTTGCAGGGAAAAGTATGAAATAAAATATTGAGGGTAACACGTAAGAATCGAGTTGTTATGGTTTCAGTTAATTTTGCTGATATTATGTTTATTTCATATTATATTCATTGTAGATATTATGTTTTTTAAAATATATTTTCGGATATTCTATTTATCTTAAAATGTGTTGCAAGAATTTTTTAAAATATTTTTAAATAAAGCACACTGTAGAAATTACGATAAAAAGTACCTTAAAATCCATTTACAGTAAAATTTTACGGAACAAAAAATCCGATATACCGTAATATAAATCCGATATACCGTAATATTTATTATTCTGAAGCAATATATTTTTCAGTTGTCACCGAATCAAATTTTAAAAAATACAATTTTTTAAAATATATAAATTTTTAAGTTATATTAATATAATACATTTCTAATGCTTAACAACATTTTTCAAACATATATATCTCGACGACCTAATTAAAATTTGTAAACGATTTTTAGGATCGGGGGAAGATTCTTTGAATCCTAAGTTGTGAATTCTTTGCATACATAGGATATGTTCAGTAATGATTCTCTTACATTTCCATTTTTAGAATCCTTTTCAAAACAAATACGCTAATTAAGGATCTGAAATTAATATTTCAGCGAAGGAAAGGCATAAACTCGATCGTATTCTGTTCATCTTGGTTTAAGAAAACATCAAAAGCAGTACTCCCGAAAATCTTAATGGATGTGTCGAATAATCTCTTATGAGTTTTACAGCTTTTCCCTGCAATCAAACAGGTTTCAGGGTTTTTAATACTACCATCCTGAATTGTTAATTTTTGATTTCCGGTTTTAACCTAGCTTAAATATTAATTTCGATCCCTATTAAGCATACTTTTTTTTAAAATCAATTTTTGCAAGGACTCTAAAAATATATGTATACTTTGTACAGAATGAAAAAAAAAACATTGGACCACTTTGAATAACTTTTGATCTACTGATCGGATCTTCATGTTCTAGGACTCAATCCTAATAGTCTGAGGGGGTTACTTCAAGCATGCAAACTATTAGTGCCGTCAATAAATATTTTAAGTTACGAAATAAGACACAAAAACGTACTTTCTAGGAATAAACATGCATTCTTTCGGACGAATTCGGATTTCTGACTCCCATTGTTGGTGTAGCCGCATTGGGGGAAATATGGTCCCAATAGTTTGGCCAGAAGAGTGAACCAAAGTTCGCATCTTTTAATGTTTATTATATTTTTTGTGTATTACACCATATCTCGTGATCATCATTTTCGCTCGCAATTATTAAATTCGTTTTATCCAAAGAAAATTCCATGAAAAAAGTACATTTTTTTATTATTATTTTATTCAATAATAGTCTAAAAAAATAACTTTGAATCGTAAGGTATACAATTTTTTACATCATATTAAACAATATAATTTTACGTGACCGAACACAAAATTTGAGCGATATCGATCAAATAGTTCCTGAGAAATCGAATTTTAAAAAGGTTGTATTTTTAAAATTCGATTTTTCTATAATTCAACTAAAGTACTGTTTACTTTTGATTAAAGGTAAAGTGATTAAAAGAAACTAAACAAAGTAGATAATTATAAACCAAAATGTTTTATTTATGTTTAGTTTCGTCAGTCATACGAAAAAATAACCACATTTACGATTTTAATTAAAAACCTTCTTTGATATGCCTTAAAAGTGTTTTTGGAAAGAGAGATTTGGTATCAGGAAATAACAAACATTTTCTTTGAATGATCTAAAGAAATGCAGACCACCTGCCTGAATAAATACTACACATCAGTAGTTTACCATTAATGCCGATTCGCCAATGTTACACATGACTGACAAAAATCATTTGTTGATTGTTGATTAGCATTTTTATTCAGTTGCTAGAATTGAGAAAAATTAATTGGAATCTTCTTTTAAATGCTTAAAATAATAAAAAAAAGTTCTGCAAATTGTAATTCTTATTCATTTAATTGAAACTAATTTTTCATTTTGCTAATTAATTTTAATAAAATAATTGTGGATAAATAATTGGGGTTAATAACATTTAAATGGGGCAATAACTTATAGTATACTATCGCAAGTATTTTCTTTTCTTAGTATCACAACTGTGTAAGTTTTGGTTTCGTAATAGAAGCAATTAATTAGAAATAACAACGTTGTTAGCAAAGAAACTCCACTACAAATAATAAAGCAAAGTTTTTTGAAAAAAAAAAAAAATTTCAAAACATAAACTCAAAGCAGTTTTTATGATCAAATGAAGAGAAAATTCATACTATCATCAACAATAAGAGAAAATAGATAAGTAAAAGCAAAATAAATACAAAATTTATAGAAATAAATGCAAAATTTATAATTAATTGCTAAAATACAATATTTATTAATTAGCAATTTAATTTCTGTTTGTAGGATGGGAACATGGAACAGGAGTATTTATATCAGAGATCGTTCCTGGATCCATTGCTCAAAAACAAGGATTAAGAGTAAGTCAATGGGATTTTTTATATTTTATCTTTATTTTAGTGTATTTTGTTGAGTAAGTTTTCAGTCGATAAGGTTCGTAAAATTTACTTTATCAGTCAATTAGGTTGCAAAAACATACTTCATTAGTAAATTATGCATATAAAACTGTTTTTCTATAAATATATGTATTAGTATAGAGTGATAAAATTTGTCGGATTAAAGTTTAACTGAAAGTGATTAGAATAAACCATAGAGAAACAAACGCATTTTGCTTTATTTTTTTTGTACTTTTATAAAGATTCTGGAAATAGTTTTCGGTTAATTTTTTTAGTCTTTTCATTTTAAACGTGGAGCTTATTATAGAAAAAAAAACTGAAAACTTTTATTGGTTTTTATTGTGAGCCTATATATACGTGTACAATCTTTACAGGGTATAATATTTCTAATGTTTCATGAACGTTTCAAGCTAAACCTTTTTCATTTTAATTTGGGTTATTTCTAAATAAATTATTTATTATAAAGTTCTACTCAACATGTTTCTTTTTTCATGATAAGGAATGCTAAATTTATTAAAATTATTTAAGTAATCCTGAAGATTACACAATATTTTAATTGTTTAATAACGTGTTTAATAAGTTTAAATAACGTGTGTGAATGTTCAAGTAGCTTTGATCTATTTATCAAATTTTCAAGAACTGTTAGCCAAATTTTATTAAATTGTTTAATGTTCACCCCGTTTAAACAAGGTTTTGAAACTATTGTTAATTTTAAATAGAATGGCGAAACGTTCACCATGTTTAATTAAGATGTTGTTTAAATGATTTCATTATTTAAATAAAGGGGTGAGACGCTTACTCTGTTTGATTAAGATGTTGAAATAAACGCAATATTTAAATAGAGAGGTGAAATGTTCACTATGTTTAATTAAGATGTTAAAATGATCGCAATATTTATGAATTAATATTAACATGTGTTAACAGTAATTATGTGCATAAACAGCGTGTTAAAGTTTCACCTTTTGATTAAAATGTAAAATAAATTCAAAATGTTGATTAATATAAGCAAAAACATTAGTCATCTCTTGAGAAATCATTAAAAGCATTATTTAATACCTTTTAACCCCCCCCCCTTTAGGCTTGATTAACAGGAGGCCGGATTCGGTTAAATTCACTAAGTTTGACGTGTACGTCATACCCAGTCTATACCACTCGTTGAAGATTTGATCACGCAAATCTTAGACGCTCTTCATGAAAATTTTTAGGACGCTGAGTACTGTGTTTTTTCATTGACATATCCCATTAGTCTATGCAGCTCAAGGCAGGTGAATTTGCAGGCCAGTCGAGATTTAAAAAGGGTTCATAAAACCAGTCACATATGATGATCTCTGCTATTGTCATCTTAAAAAAATAAGGTTATCATCAGCATTAAGATATTGCCTGAAATGCAAAGTCTAATAATCCAGAATGTTAAAATAAACATGCTCATTCACATTAGTGGTCTATTGAACATTAGAAAACTATTGAATAACGATTAACAAAAAAACGCAAATGATGTTATGAATTATATGATTTCCTTAAGGGTGACTTATTTTTTGTTTGGTGAGCTTTAACATTTTGAAAATTACGAAAGTAATTTTTACTCATATATATGTGGGTTGAGTATTAAGAGAGCTTAATTTTATTTTTAGGTTGGTGACCAAATTGTAAGGATAAATGGCTTTAGCATCCATCGTGCAATCCATATGGAAGTTTTAAGCCTACTGAAAACTTGTCCGGGAATTGTCCTTAAAATCAAACGTAAGTAAAACACACAAACTTAAATTGAGCACAGAATAGTCTTTTTCCTTCCTTCTCTTATGTATTTTAAAGTTTTTTTTTCTTTCTAAAGATAATCTATATTTTTTAATATTATATTCAGCATTACGGAAGATATCGTCTCAAAATGATGCCCGTAGTGTATTTTGCGAAAACAGAGGAGGCTAAACAATGGTTACTATGGCTAAGATGGTTACATGTTGAATTAGTCTGGCGGTGTCTTAAATTCAATCTGTTCTTATTCAGTTAAATTCATAAATGCCTCTAATTAAAATATTAATTGGAATAATAATTATATTTTTTATTTAAAAATTAGTCAAATTTTGCCAGCATTTTTTAGTCCAAGTTTAGACGCGTATAGATATAATTTAATGGGGCAGACTTAAAATGCTTTATGGCGTAGTCTTATGTTTAAATTCAATCTGATGTAGTATTAAATTCATAAATGCCACTAAATAAAATATAAAATAGAGCAATAATTACATTAAAAAAATTAGTCAAATTCTGCCCGTATTTTTTAGTCTAAGTTTTTCCTCGTATAGAAATGATCTAATAGGGGGAATGACAGAATATTGCTTAATGAAATTGAAATAAATTTTTTTATCCTCTCGGGTGGGTTTGTCTGAGCACTTTAAAATGGATTTAGAATTTGTACGCAATGATCTAACATAACAGGCGTTCAACATCATAAAAGCTGTTTTAGAATTACACCATTATAAGCAAAAAATAAATTAAAATGATCGATATTTTTATGATGCTACTGCTCTAAAGTCAAGTAGAAGAAAGATTTAACCGATGCATTAAGTGGTTTATGGAAGTGATTTGATACAGTAAAATAATTATTCTGTGAAATATTGCCAGAAAGTAAAATTTATGGTTATAATTTTATCCAAAATTCTTCTATTCAAGCAGGAGAGCAGTTGGGCACTTGTTAAATAGAACTGATAAAAATTGATTAATGAAATTGGTAAGAGGTAGTAAGTTACATGTAAAAAAAAGATTGTATTTAAGTTATAAAGTTGAATAAAATGATAAAAATTTTAATAATTAACCCTGGAAAGTATGAATAAAGCTATTGTATGTTCTTTCATTATGTTTAAATTGTTTAAGTCTATACGTCTTTTAAATTCGTTTCCAATTCTGTTTCGTTTTATCTTTATTTTAGGTAACAAAGTTTTCAAGTATTTTTTTAATTTGTATTTATTTGCTTTTTTATAGGTGTCGGTATATTACCAGTTAAAGAGTGAGTAGATTTTTTTATTTATATAATATTTTTAACTATCGTAACATTTTTAAAGATTATTTAATGTTTTTATAGAAGTAGGACAGAAAAGCTACTAAGGTAGTCTATAATAAATTTGCCAAAAACATATACTTTTGTTTGCTATTTAAATTTTGAAATTGATCTTAAAATCTAGGATCATAGATTTTTTTTCCGAAATCATTTCGTAAAACGAAATACCAAACTTAAGCTCAACTCCAACCTGGTAATAGGTGCTAAGTTATTTGGATTTCTAGTTTTACTTAAGATTTGAAGGTACCAAAAAAAATATCAATAAAAAAATGAAAAAGAAAAATTTGGTTAGTCTATATGGCAAAGCTTATTTGCCGAAATTATCGGCAAATAAGCTTTCGGTTTCGGCGGAGGTTTTTGTCGTCCCTTTTAAGTTTTCGGCAGAGGTTTAAAAAACTCGACGGAGGTTTTTGTTGTCCCTTTTAAGTTTTAGTGCTGCTATCTGGTGAGCAAATAAAGTAACACATGTAGGGTCTATGAAAGCCACTTGTAATTTGATTCTGTCAATAAAGTTGAAGAATTTACCACTATTATGGCTAGATTTGAAACTTTGTAGTTCAATAATAAATTTTCTCTTTTAGAATGTTTTAAAATATAAAATAATAGTTTAAAACATACATAAATTTAAATTTAGAAACCATAGCCATTTAAGAATTTTATGTGATGCTTAAAGACATTGCGTTTATTCTGAGTTGGAAAACATGCACTGAAATTTGCATATGGTATCTTTCGGATTTAAAATGCTACATTTGATATTTTTGTTTTTATACATTTTTGTCTAAGAATCTTGCATCGATGTTTAATTTTCTTTAAGAAAGTAACTAATCTGAAAACATGCTATAACTATTCATGTAATGAAGGAAAATGATTAGAACATTGCATAAATGCTCATGTCTCAGGTAATTAATAGATAATTCTACCACTACGGACGTAATATTTGAAGATTTAAAAAGAACATAAATCAAATTAGTACAGGTTGTTTATTTTTTGTTAAAATATCTCTTGGCTTAATTTAACGCGTACAGCAATTTTCATTAAATTTTTGAACTTTTATTTTTTCTCTCTTAAAAATCTAGCTGTTTCAGACAGAGCAGGTCCTATTTTTTATTTAAAATTTGAAATTATTTTTTACTTAAAACTTTTCTTAAACTTCTTAAAGCTAATAAAAATCACAATAAGTGTTAGTTTCATTAAGAATTATTTTAGGAAAAAAAAAAGAAGAAAAAAAAACTACTAAAACTCGCGAGACTTTTCTTCTATTTAAATTTATGTGCATTTAAAGTGTGAAAATGTTTCAACCATAATAATGGAATTGACCAACTGACAAAATAGTTGCTTGATTGCAAGATTCGTATAGTTGTGTGAATGCTACATATTTTATTAAATAATATAAATTGTATGGTAGTGGATTCATGTATGATTTGTTCACTATTTAATACAAAATTTGAATTGAATTCTACCTATACTAAAATAATGCAATTTTTTTTCAGACGTGACAAAGATCCGGTCACATGGAAAATAGTTGAACCACAAAATCCCTTAATATGCTCTAATCAAGTAACTGTAAGTTTCTTTTGAAAGTTTAAATAATTATTGTAAATTGACTTGTTTATTTATAATCGGTATTGAATTATGAATAAACAAGTACGCGAATCAAGTGTTTCATCCAATGAATACTTAGTTTTAGTAAATAATTTATGTAATTTTAATTATATCTCTTTATGTGAAACGAGATGTAAATAATCAAGTAACTATAAGTCTTTTTTTGAAAGTTTAAATAAATATTTCAAATTGGCTTGTTTATTTATAACTGATATGGAATTAAAAATTCGAAGTTACACGAGTCTATTGTTTTATGAAATGAATATTTAGGTTTAGTAAATAATTGCTATAATTTTAATTGCATCACTTTATATAAGAAAATTAATGAAAATGATCATGTAATTCTAAGTTTTTTTGAAAGTTTAATGATGTGTTGCAAATTATCTTTTTTATTTAGAATAGATATTGTGTTTCTAAACTTTTATGAAATGAACATTTTATTAAATTTTATCAAAAAATGGCAATGCTTTTAATTGCACATGTTTTTGCAAGAAAGATAAATTTACGGAAAGAGGAAAGCTTTTCTTGTTTCATTTTTTTATTTTTAATTTTAGAAGTAAAGTTTTTCACTTTCTTGTTGTTAGTTGTCTGTTAATGAAAAATTGTTGTCTATTTTTCATGCTTTGCAATTTTTCAGAGAAAGTCAATTTTGATAGAGAAATACCTCTGAAGATTTACAGTTTTTTATTATTTAAAAAATAAAAAGTTATTTAAAATATATTATAAGCAAAAATATTCTTTTGTTGAAGAAAATGTAGAATTCTTCTTTCTATTCAATCTAAGAAAAACTTTTTACGTACTGAAACTATTTTTTTAGATAACAGTTTCTATTTAATAAATATACCATTAAATTTTTAACTTTCATAAAGCAATAACAAAATAAAAACCAGTCGCTCGCTAAGTTATAAAATTTTTTTAAAGACATTAAATTCACAGAAAATGTTTTTCTAATTTATTACGATTATAAAATAGTATAAATAATATAATCCATAATTATAATTAAATTTGAATTAAAATTAATTAACATAAATAATTATAATTAATTAATAATAATCTGTAATCTACAAACATAATCATAATTAATAATTAATTAATATGAAAATTCTAATCTACAAATATAATTATAATTAGTATAAATAACTACAATTATAAAATTATAAACTAAAACAATATTATTTATAATTGTAAAGAAAATTTGACGACATTAAATTCACAGAAAATGTTTTCATAAATTAAGCATTTTTTTTTTTTTTTAATTTTTTGAAACATAAATTTTTAATACCTTTTCTTTTAGAGACCTCTCTTTTGGAGATATCCGAAAAAGCTTTTTTAAGCAGGGACCAATTTGGAGCGAGAACGCATCAGAATATTGTTCGAAACACCTTCTCGAACTGAAAATTTAATAATAATTATTAATAATATATTTAAGCAAATCAATAATGGTTTCAAACTAACTCTTACAATACTATATTTTTGAATTTATGCCATTCTAGCAATTAGTCTCTTAAGAACCTCAATCTGTGATATTACATCATATTCTAGGAACAAATTGATTAAGCTTATGGTACTTCCGGTCTTACAAATTGATAACCGTTTTTAGAATTAAATATCTTAATTTCGCTTTAAAAACATTAGTAAAGTAAAACAGTTTGAAATGCAAAAATATCTCAATGTTTCGTTTATTAATTACCATTATAAAAATGAACGCCTTCCTCAAATTAGGCAGCTTCAGACCAGCTCTTATGTTATATTATGCTTAAGTTTATTTTAAAAGGCCATTTTTGCAAATCGAGACGCTTAAACAGGAGCTCTCCTAGTACCTTAATTTGCAATTTTGTACAATACCTCTAAGAACCGATAGACTAGCTTCCTATCGGTTCTGTGTTTTTGAAACTTCCAGTCCTACAGTTAAGTTGATTACTGTTTCTGGAAATAAATGTCTCAATTCCGTTTCAGAAGCATTAGTAAAAAGCATTAACCCTTTCCTTCTCACTCCCGTGAAAATGACGGGATGAGGTTTCGCCTCTATTTCTCGCTCCCGTGCAATTGACGGGCTGGAGTGTTCAGTAGTAACGCATCAATAAGAATTAAACTAATTCATTTCTTTCGCCCGGAAAAAATTTTATTTCCCATTTTACACTCCAGATGGCGGTATCAGGATATTTTTTAAGGTTATTGTAGATAGTTAGTTTATTTTAAACTAGATGTCAGCACTAATCGAATACTACGTAATACAAATACAAAAGCCAAAAAATAGGCACTTTTATGACCGTTTTCTTGAAAATTAACCGATTGTTAAAAAAAAAAAAAATCGCAACGTTTTTTTTTTTTTTTTTTTTTTTTTTTTTTTTTTTTTTTTTTTTTTTTTTATAGTTATTAGCCATGAAAAGCAACATATTATTCAAATTAAGCAAACAAGATCATCCGATGACCTGCAATAAGATGTTTATTTATTATTTTAGCAAGTCGACCGTTTAAGTAAATCATCCGCGGACCCTTTGAAGCATTTCTAATTCGACTAATGTATGATCTGAGCGTTGAATTGGTGAAACAGTTTTGACGCGTGGGAATCTGTTTACATTTTTTTTTTAAACATCATCTCTCACGAGCGTATATCTCTATATATTTATTTATCTCTGCATTAGATGAAAGAAGATTTGATTTTGAGTAATGCTTTTGGGAAGCTAATTTCTAATGTAAATGCAATATTTATGGACTCTTGATGACGTATTAATCTTTTCACAGCATTCGCGTGTGAATGGCTCTACTTCGGAGAACAACATCATTGTAAAAGTCGAAATATGCGTGCCTGGTTCGGCAAGCCTCGGTTGCAGGTAAAAGAACACATTTCCATTTAAATTATACTTTATTTTATATTATGTAGTTGATTGTTTTGAGTTGACACGCAGTAAAAAATTCCGGATCAAATTACGGTTAAAAGTGTCAGCACTCAGGGTGTCGGTACTTTTTACCATAAAATCCATTTTTTTCCGGAACATGTTCCGCAACGAAAAATCTGATATACCGTAATTTTTACAGTAATAATACCTAACCTTTAAATCACTGAACCACTCGAATTAAATAAAAATTACTGTAAATTGCGGTATAATATTTTATGGTAAAAATGGATTTTTCTGAAAAATAGATTTTATGTATGATGCACCCAAACTGGTAGTTCTTTATATAATTTGATCCAGTAATTTGATCCAGAATTTTTACAATGCTGGTTTGTTTATCTTCTGTGTAAAATAAATGGATGAATCTTTCTTTATGAAACATATTTGAAAATTTTATATTATATTCAAGACAAAATACAGAATGTTTCATAAAACTGTAATCATGAGTAACTGCATTTGTCTTACAAAATAATTGCTTTTAGAAGAGAACTTATGATTTTTAACTTTAAATTAGATTATTTTTTATGGAAGTTAATCTAAAATTAATTTGAGTTCCTTTGATAAATATTTCCTAAATTTTTTCTAGCCTGCTCCTTAGAAGCAGAATGATATGAAGTTTATGATTTTTATATATATTTTTTTCAAAATTTAATTCCATTATTTATTGCATAATTTCTTATTTAAGAGAGATCTAAGAAAAGACTCGAAAGGCATTTATTTTGCTAAAAAAGTTTACATTGAATTATAATTTGCAATTTTTCATAATATCTTTTGAGACAGCGACGGTACACATTAAAACTTTTTCAAAATTCGATTTCTCAGATATCAATCGTTCAATTTCTCTTAAATTTTGTATTTTGTCGTTTAAAATTGCATTCTTTAAAATGGAGTAAACACTGTATATCTCACAATTCAAAAGTTTTTCGACTATTTTAAAATAAAATAATAAAAAATAATAAATATTTACTAAAAGGTACATTTTTTAAGGATAAACGAATTTTATAATTGTGTGCAAATTTTCTTTTAATTCGTTTGAAATATGCAAAAGTAAAATTAACATTAAGGGTTTAAAACTTTGGGCCGCTCTCCTGACCAAACTATGGGGATCATATTTCCCAAATTTGCGACTATCCCCTATATTTTGGGGTCAGAAATCTGAATGCGTCGAAAAAAAAGGTATGTTTAATCAGAGAAAGTACGTTTTTGCGTCTGATCTCGTAACTTAAAATATCATCTGCAGTAATTAATCAGCATACTCATCCTTTGAGCTTTTAAGATTGAGTCCTAAAACGTGAAGATCATTTGATCAAAAAATTATTCAGGGTGATCCACTTATTTCTATTGCGCACTGAAAGTCTATAACTGCATCCAGGCTGTTGAAAATTTAAGAGTGCGTGTTACTGATGTAGCTTCCATTACACTTAGATGTTTTTGATTGCGTTTATTATTTTTGATTGAATGATATCTTTTTTAAAGACATTTTTCATTTAAACATTTAATATGTCACCAATATGCAAAATGTAATTTTAGAAGAAACTTATATGCAAAACAAATTGTAATATTGGTATAAACGTATATATATTTGAAAAAGTAATGAAACCTTAATTAGGAAATGAAACTGTGTATATTTCACTCGATCGATAAGCTTTTCACTCTAGAATTAATTTTTAATTATTTTTTTTATGAATCTGGCGCCCTTCTAAAGCTGAGCCCGGTGGGGGGAGATGTCCCCTCTTTCCCCCTGCTAGCTACATCGCCTAGACATTTTTTCGAGATTATAAGTTCCGAGTTGCAGAAAGACAACGTATTGAGTCTTGACAGCCATTATGACACTCAAAGACCACCTGCCTTAACTTTTTGTTCATTGCGTTATTTCCACTTTTGTAGCACATTTTCAACTTGAGTAGCACACTTTCAACTTTAGTAGTACACTTTCAGCTTTACTAGCATTATTAGCAATCTGAGAGAAAAAACAAAGTATAGTCAAGACTACCAGAATTAGGTAAAATTAAACGTGCATTTGGCTCTATGAGAATGCCAAAAAGTTCAGAAGTTTGTATCGAAGCGCTTTTTTAATAATTTTGGTAAAATTAACAATAAAATATGGTTTTATAAGTTTTTATTACTGCACATTAAGTAATTCATACGAAACTGAAAAGTAGATCTAACCGAATGAATGGTTTTTAAGCCATTCTCTAACGTATCGTGATTTTGTTTATCAAATTTTACTACATTTACCAAATTTTATCTCACATTACAGAATTTATAAAACTGTATTCTTAATTTTACCAAAATCATTACCGAAGCGCTTCGATAAAAATTACGAAGCTTGTTGGTGTTACCATAGAGCCAGAAACACCATAAATCTTACTATATTCTTTGGTAATTTAGACCATATATATTTTTTTCTCTGTGTAGGAAACAAAATTTATTGAATTTAGTTTATTTAAATCGAATAGCTTGAGGACTTATTTTCTATCATTAGTTTCATGTTTACATATAGGAAGTATAATGTGTGTTTTATTTCTAGCATTGCCAAAGGACCTGCTGAACTGCCCGGTATATTTATGTGTACTGTGAAAGAAGGCGGGATTGCAGATCAGGCTGGCTTGCAAGTTGGCGATCAAATTTTGGACATGAACGGAACTAGCTTTCACGACTTAAAACTCAATGAAGTACGAATCACGTTGATTTAATATGCCGTTCTTTAAAATAAGTTGGAAAAGTGAATTGATCGTTAATTATTTAAACCTTCGGTTCGGTTTTTACCTTCGGTCAAAGTTCGAAATCTTATAAGCAAGAGTTGTGTTTTTTCCTTTGGTGGATAGTAAGCTCCGGAGCCATTTTGCAACCGCAAAAATATTGAAAACGTTTTTTTAAGAATGCTTTTTTTACATTAAGTTATCATACAATGAGATTTATTCTGAGTCAATATCTTGTATAATGCTATTTTTCTGGTATAAATATTACTTCTCTATATATGAATGCTATATTACAAAAACTATAATAGTTCATATTTTGGGGAAAAAGAACTTTATTATGAAGCTTTTATTACTAGCTTAATTTTTACAATTAAATAAAAAGTTGTAGTTTTCATTCATGAGTGTGTTTTCCTTGGGAGGAGACAGTTTTTTTTAAATTTTTTATTATTAATTTTTTTTTTGAAATTTAATAGTGACACTTTTAAAACAAACAATTGTCATATTTAGAAAAAGTAAAATAAAAAAAAATAAAATGGAAAACTCATCCAATTTTATACCTCAGCTTTTTCAGAATAATGAAAAAAGAAGATATCAATTAAAAAACAATGGTAAAATGTTTTTCTAATTTCCTTAAATTGTTTCTCTCTTCCATTTTCCTTTTAGCTTTTTGTAAATAAATGAAATTATTTTAACTACCACTGAAATTTATTGAAATTTTAGTTACTCTAAATATATTTAGAAAGTTTCTAATACGTATTTTATGTTTACATATTGAAGCATTGATTAGTTAATTTCTTTCGAATTTAAGAGGGTTTTTATTTGATCTTAAACTTACAGTTTGTTTTAAATTTAAGTTTTTTTTAATAGAAAATTTCAGTTAATATGGATTTCCTAAGAATAAATTAAGCTTTACACTCTCAGGAATAAAACTTTCACTTTTGACGATTCAGCAATCATTGAACTATATTTCGTCAATTTTGAGAATCATTTCGTCACGAAATTACGTGATTTGTGATGAACGCGAACTCTCAAAAATATGACGAAAATATTTTTTCACTTCGCTTAAAACGAAGACATTTTCACGATATTTGAATATCCATTTTTTACTTATAATTGTTTAAAAATAAATAATTTTAATCATTTTTTTTTTCTAGGCTGTAGGTCTTATGAAATCTGTTAAGGACATTCGCCTGACTGTCAAAAAAGGCGCAGGTATTAGTCTATTCTTAGACAATGCTTCCACCTGCCAATCAAATGGAAACAACAAGAACGAAGATTGCATTTCGACTACAAGAAGTCTCAGCGACGGGTAATTGAAGCATTCAATCAAACATTTATGCAAGGACAATAAAAAATTCACCTCAGGGACTATAGAAATAGGGTTGCATAAGTTACACTAAAATCTAGATTTAGAATAAGGTCTTAAGCATGTTTTGTAGAGCGATCAAATTTTGTTATTTGTTGTTGCAGTATTATTTTTGGTTACTGGTTTGCCCGTAGCTTTATTTTTTTTATATTAGGCTTTATTTTCATTATGTTTATTTCTTTTAAAAATATATTCTGTTTCTTTGGATGTTAATAAAAATAAGTTTCTATTCTATTTACATACTTGAGTCATTTTTTTCCCTTTAAAATATCTGTCTTTAACGTGATGAAAGTATGTTTTCTTGTTTAGTTTTTGAAAAGTCATCTAATATTTTAAATCAGGTGGTATGAGTAACTTAAAATAATCGTTTTTTAACTATGTTAACTAATTTTAAAATACGATGTGGCCTATTTTTGTTGAATGTTTACTTTTATTGAAAAATTAACTGTATAAAAATTGATAATTATTTTTTTTGTAAAGAATTCGTAACTTAGTGGCAAGTAAATCTTTTGGAGATTTAACTTTAACTTAAAAAAAAATTGTAAAGTAAGGAAAAAGCTTCAGGTATTCACAAATATTGAATTATAAAGTAAAAGTATACTTTTTACTAGTTCATTCTCTTGACCAAGTGGAAAAAATTTATAATAAGTTGTATCAGAATGACGTTACACACCTAAATCAATAACAAAATTTTTTTGCATTGCCTCATTATGACGCAATTTATCACTGAAACTTTTTGTAATCCAGTTTGAAAATAGGTACTTTTATGCTACTAAATTATCTTCCTTCAAAATCTGAATAAAGTTTTTTTTCTCTCCGGGGGGGGGGGGGATGTAAAAAGAGTGGATCCCATTTACCATTTAGTCTAACTAAAAAGTTTTTCCTTTTTCCTTAATTCTTTTTTCCCCTTTTTTCAAAAAATTAACTGTTTAAAAATTTTTAACCATTTTTTCAATAAAAAATTAGGAATTTAGTTAGAGGTAAAGGTAATTTTTTTGTAGATTAAACTTCCACTTAAATTTTGATTTCACTTCAAGTAATATTAAGCTAGGTGAATTATTAAACTGTAATAATGTTTTTTACTAGTTCATTCTCTTGACCAGGTGGGAAAATTTCTGATTAGTCGGGTCCGAATTGCGTCACACAACTAAATTTATAATAATATTTTTGTGAATTGCCTCGTAATGATGCCATTTATTACTCAAACTTTTTCTAACCCAGTTCGAAAATATGTATTTTAATATTACTAACTAATCGTCCTTCAAAATATGAATAAAGTTTTTTTTTTTTGGAAAGTGTAAAAAGAATGGATATAATATGGATATATAATGGAGTAAAGAATATTTACTCAAGTAAATGTTATTTTCAAGAAAAAAAGGTATATATTATTTAGAAATGTAGTGCCGTAAATGTAATCTAAAACTCACACTAAAAAAATATGGACCATTTTTAAATATTATTAAATTTCGAAATATTTTCTTTGAGCAAATATGGCCAAACGTTCATTAGCAACCACCATATATATGATTTCTGTAACATTTGTATTTACTTATTATTATGGCAGCTACAAAGCAGTAGAAGTTGGGCGGTGGCCACTTAAGCGCATTTAACATATTTGTAAGTAGATAGAAAGTATTTAATATTCATGCACGTAGATAGTAGACAGCATGCACCTCTTGGATTGCTTATAGCATGTTTTAGCTTTGGGTTTCAATAGTACGTTTCTAACAAAACATATATTGCATGCATTATATTAATTTTTTTCTTATTGTTTGAAGTAGTTATCAGTTATAAATAATGTTTAAGTTGGTGTAAAATTAAATATTGTACTCGTAGTTCAAAAATTTTAACTAACATCAAAAAATTTGTGTGATAACTAATCAATTTAAAACGCTTATTTTATAAGAATAGCTATTTTATTTAAAAGTATTCGAACAGTTACGCAATTTTAATTAAATTATATTGATTGCTTGATAAAAATTATGCAAAGATTTAAACGCAGATAATATTTAATTAGTTTAGTTTGGGTTTTGAATTGTAATTCAACTTTTTATCTTTTAACTGCAATATTTGTTTAATCTATGTAATTTATTGATCAATACAGCAATTTATTATCAACGTAAAGCTTTGTTAGTGTTCGAAAACACGAAAGCAAGCATATAAACTTCTTGCTTGTTTCTGATTATATGTCTTTAAATTAAGTTAAAAATAAAATAATTTTACTTTAAAATTGAAAGATTTTAAATTTTTTTATGAAGACATAGAATATGTTATAAAATTTGGGATGAGCAGTTAACTGTATAGCTGTCTTCTTAATCATTTTCTTTACACCTTTCCCAATAATTGTTATAATCCACAGCTTCATCTTCTCTGCTTTTAGCTCTCATAACATTTTGCCTGTTAAATGTATTTTCAATGCAAATTTTTTTTTACCTATCTAGTTTTCAGAGCTTTTGTAAAGTAATTAGAATCTAAAAATTTTCTATTATATTTAATATAATGCAATAATATATAAATATTTTAGCATTTATATTAATATTTTAACAATGAGGGTCAAATATTTTCGCATGAAAAAGAGATTCTAATAAATTAAAACCAAATAAAGATGTTTTGGGTGCAAAATTAAGTTTTTATGTTTTACTACGTTTTTGTTTATTATAAATTATAATAAATTCTGAAAGTAATAAAAAAAAGTCTGAAATGAATTTATGTACGGAAAATTATTTTGGCAGACAAATTTTAGGGCTAAACTAGGGAAAATTTAATTTTTTCTCGTGCTTTTATTCCATTTCTCTGTTTTCGTAACATTATTTTAAACTTTTATTTGCTTTGTCTTAAATATGAAAACGGCTGAGAACTTTTGCTTTGTATATTCTATATTTTCAGTCTTAACTAAACTAAACAGCGAAGGCAAACTTCTACTCAGATAATCTCAATCTTATTTAGTATGTCTAGCTCTTAAGTCACAAGGGCTCGAAAATATCAAAATTTTTACCTGTCCTGCCTTGCATTTAGTCTTCAGAGTACATGCCTAAAATGAAACTTTAACAAGTGTTAGTAAATGTTTTCTTTACTTCAGTATCTCGTGCAAAAGTTCCTAGGGGAATACAGTGTAAGAAATTCTGGATCAAATTACGGTATAAAGTATTTGTACAATGAGTGCAAAATCCAGTTTTAATGTAAGATTTTGTAACGTAACTTTTTACAGTGATATTTATTTAATCACAGTGATTCAGTGATTTAAAAATTATAACTGCAAAAATTACGTGATTTTTTGTGCTATGTAACTAATTAGTTCTGTAAAGTTCTGGCAGAGGAGTGCCAGTGAATTGTACCGTGATTTGAACCGGAATTTTTTACAGTGCAGTTCGTGTGCATCGCGAGAACTTTTATATTGTCTGACAGAGCAATGTTTTATAACGAGAATAATTTTACAACGAATCTACTAAGCATTTGGCTTGGTAAAAGTAGTTCTGAAAACTAGATTTTTGCTTCAAAATGTACTTCAAGCTTTTATAACAAATTCATTAAATTTATTACAGAATGTCAACCACTCTAAAAGAACACGACTTTTCCGGCAGCTGTTCTTCGAAGTCTGAGGGTAGTTCCTTCCAGAGCAGCGTCTCCAGCGACTCTGAGAAAGACTACTCCATCTCGGAGGAGAGTGCATTTGAAGGCGTACCAAAGAACGGCAAGTGGTCAACCCAACACAAGAAGAACCCATCTTCTGCCTCGACCATCGAAGACGACACGTGGCTTCTGGAGGAGAAGAGGAGTCTGGAGGAAGAGAAAAGAAGACTGGAGGAAGAAAAGAAAAGGCTGGAAGAAGAGAAGCGGAAACTGGAACTGGAAAAGTCTTCTTCTTCCTCGTGTTCTTCTTCTTCTCAGTTGACGTCTCTGGAAGACACTTCTTTCAAAGATAATAGTTTCTTAAATGAATTGCAAAAGGTGGCGGCCAAGATGAGCACGAAAGAGAACAAAGGTGATGAGGTGCTCAGAAATGGTGTCCCCATCAAAACTACTCGTGCAGGTAAATACATCACTGTTCAATGTTCAACTATAATATCGATGTCTTAAACCATATTATCGTGTAGAGTTGTCGCAACCTTAATAATCGTGTAATCAGTTTCGATAATGATTAATTTCCCGATTATGGTTTAACCCTGCACCGTATTAGAAGAGGAAAAAATTTTGAATGGTATTATGCTTCAATGCGTTGAAACTTTTTTGTGAGTTTAATGGTATTTTGCTAAATTATAATTGCAAGTTCTGTACTTCATAATATTTTGAAGAAAAATAAAACATGACGAGAAAATTTTATTAAGTATTCTGAGGATTTGTATCAACGAATAAAATTAACGATTTGAATCTTTGACTCGATTCGTCACTTCTGAATCAAATCATAATCATAAGATAAGTTAATTCAATATAATCATAAGATCGACACTTTTGGTGTAATTTGTAGTGATTTGCCATTTGTTTGAAACAAATCCATTGCAAATATACAAAAATCTATACTCATAAGCAGTGGCTATTGCACCGATCATTAACAAAAGAAAAAAAAAATCCTGTCTGATGCAAGTAGGGTCCCATCATTTTCTGCATCGTTGTCACCTGTTACCTGCAAAGCCAGCGCTACTCAAGTTTGATAATAGCCAACCTTTCTTACCATCAGTGTACTCGTTTCGAAAAATTTCAACCTTTATACTATGACGTAAGTCTGGCGTTCACGGGGTCTTACTCTATAGAGACATTACTTCTTATTGACATAATACAATGGAACATTAATATAAATATCTTTATTTCTTAATTAATGCAGATTACCCTGTATTTAGTCGCATTTAGAAATTTTTTTTATGTATACTAATAAATTTTTATGTTCTTTTGACTCATTGCAGAATGTACTGATCTTTCCTTATATGTTTATAAATAATATTGTCTTGTAAGTGAAATATTTTGGAAGCATTGATATAATTAATGTATACCATATTTAATTTAATACCAAGCTATATTAATAAAATATGTATACTTACAGAAGTTTTTAAAGGCAAACGATGCAAAGAAGATGCCATTAAAAGAATGCAGCATGGTAAGCATTTTGAGTTTAGCGTGTGTTTGCAATTATTTATGTTGACATGAAAAGTTTTAAATTGACTATAGGCTTGGAAGGTACCCTAATCCTACCCGACGAATAATGATAAATATTGCATATTAAAACGTTACGTTTAATGTACTCTTTAGTTTTTTTTCCTCCAATGAATGTATAGATTCTTATATTGTTGTAACATGAAAAAACACTTTTAAATTACTAGAAGGCTCTACCCCCTGCTCCCACCGCTCACCAACTTCTTCAACATCATTGTTTTCTTCTTTTTAAAGCTGATATTTTTTTGAAAAGGGAAAGATAATTCCGTTAATAAAATATATGGTTGTTACAATTTTACGTATGTACATTTTGTAAATATGTGATAGGTTAATGTGTGGATAGTTAATGTGTGACACAATAGGGAAAAACAAAAGAACAGCAATTTCACTAATTAACGATAGCCTGATGTAACTATATCAATTTAAATAGTAAGCTGTTTTTAGCTCTCTTAAACTTTTGATTCAAGTTTCTTATACACTTGAAAATTTCAAAATAAATATTAAAGTGTAATAACTGGCAGCATCTAATCTCGCTTATATTTCTTTTGTTCATTTGTTACTTTCGACTTAAACTCAAGAGCGAGCACAAAGATCTCGAAAGATACGAATTAAATTTTATACAAAAAATATTTTTTTTAAAAAAAGTGAGGAAAGAATTCACTAGAAAAGTATTTAAAATTGCAAACAAATTTTTACTAAAGAGAAACTTTCATTATCATTTTTTCAGCCCTTATTTTAGTGCTTTGGCGATTTAAACTTGTTTTTGGCTTTCTAAATCTGTTTTTGACTTAGGTATTTTATGTAAAATGACTTTCAAAAGCTGATGTCAACATTTCTTATTAGATTTCAGATAAATCCTTATTAGATTAAAAGAATGCAGATAAAACTTATGAATATATTTTTATCAGAATTCATATATTCTTGATTACATTGTTAAATATTATTAATTTTAGAAATGCTGATGGAAGAATTTCGAGCAGCTCATCGAAAAATGTTTGGTCAACAAACAGTATTAGATACAGAAGTGAATGTAAGTAAATTGGATAATTTTGCTTTTAAATTATAAAATAGTTTTAAAATTGTAAATAGCTATTTTTATTAATAGCATTAAATAATGATAAAGTATTTTCACTTTTTTTTACGGTTATTATTTGTGATATATAAATTTTAAAGCTGTTTTCCAAAGGCTCCGCCGTCATATGAAATGATACTTTCGAATCCAAATTTTAATAATAAGTACTAATTTTTAAACTATTTTCATAACTTCTGTGTATTGGCTACAGCTGTTGGTTACAGTACTCATGACTGTTAGGACAAGCTTAGCCTATCTAAAGCCATATTCTTATTCGGAAAATGGCGCAAAACCTCAAAATGGAGAAAAACCACAGTTTTGTGAAAATGAGAACAGTTTGTGGTTTAATTTTTTGATATTTACAAATTTAATTCAATGCTGCATTATCTGGGTTCTTAAGAATTTGTAAAAGCTAAATAAGGTAGTGATTTTGATAATTTTTTTCTGGGCAGAAAAATGTCGCCAAATTGGCAATTTTTAAAAAAAAAAGTTTAGTAACTTTTAAAATATTTAAGTTACTTGCCTGTTCTAAAGTCCAGATAATTCTTCAAGATTATACATATACTCTCAAAGATTATACATATATAGTTTAAAATCATTTGGCGACAGAGCTTCAAAAAACCTTGAAAAACTGTTTTATAATAAAAATTTTTTGATATGCTCAATTGTATTTTTAATATTTTAAAATTTAAATGTAATTTTCTCGAAATTTTTGCTCTTGTTTTTGTTTTCTTGAAGAGCTAGTTTTTTTTAGCTCCATTTTGTAGACTCTCAATAACATTTTGCATATCTGAGGGTAAATATTGCGAATGCAAGGGTAAAACTTTCTTTTCCTCATTAAATCATTAATAGGATAGCAATGAAGCTTGGAAAAAAGTAGTTTTAAAGTTATTTATTTTTAAGACCCGATCTCAGACTTATGAACCTGTTAGGGTTAGCTGTATTATTAATTAAGTCAGTCACGTATTTATATCTCTCAGTAAAAAATATTTTTCATTTTTATATCATTATGAATTAGAAAACTTAATTTCACTGAGCTTTTTTTCAAGGAAAAGGAGGCTTACTTTATAAATAAACAGAATTTTTTTTACAGTACATTTCTCCCAAACTTTTCAATTGAACGTGCAAACATTTTTTAGATTCAACAGAAATTTCTTATTTTGGGATAGTAAAAAGCTCTTTTAAAAATAGTTATAGGCTGATTTGTCTTTATAATAGTTTAATACTTTTACTGCAGTTAGTACTAACAAATCAAAATTGGTAATATGGTGCTAGATTAAAGAATAAATCAATTAAATATATCTTTAAATCTAAAATTGTTCAGACTTAAATTCTTTATCATATTAACAACCTGATTCTTGTTATATATTCACACTCACAGTTAATTTTCTAAAGGTTTTGTAGGTTATGATTCATACGCAGTAGCCCTATGCAGATCAAGCAATTTGATAAAATATTACATATTCATGCTTCTCTATTACCTTATTGTTAGTAACGTATAACAATTGAGTAATAACAAATATTTACAATGTAATAGATCTGTAAAAATTGTATAATTTAAAATATTTCCATTTTATATTTTAGGGGAAGGAGAAAGATACAGATAGTTTTGATTCGAAAATGTCTTTTAAGAACAAATCAAAACCACCTCCTCCACCACCAAAAACTAATGAAAATAATAATAACAAAGAGTGCCAAAAGGTAGAACTTATTTACTTTAAGGAAATATATTGTTACAATTTAGAGGAATTTTAGATAAATTTTTTATTGTGTATGCAAATTTATGAAATTTTGTCAAACAGTTGTAACTTGAATTATATTGTATAGTGAATAACTAACAATTGTATGAATTAATTTTTGTATGTGTTTTTTTATAAGCTTTTTTTCTTTAATTATTTAGAAACAATATCGGTAACTTGATAATTTTTATTAAAACTTTAATTCATCAATTTATTTTATGATTAATTTCTTGATTCTATTGTATGGTTATGAGAGATTTTTTGATTTCAACAATAACTAAATAGTTTCAGTAATAAATACGTAATATCACTTTTAGATCATTTTTTTTTAAATTCCTTAACAATATTTACAGTGTTAAATTTGAATAGTAATTGTATAGTAAATATGATACCAACCCGGGATCTTCCTGATATGAGGCGAACTTCATGTCTAGATACCAACCAGGGATCTTCCTGATATAAGGCGAACTTCATGACTACATACCGACCCGGGATCTTCTTGATATGAGGTGAACTTCATGACTAGATACCAACCCGGGATCTTCCTGATATGGGGCGAACTTCATGACTAGAATGTATTCTAGTCATGAAGTTGATTGGCTTATTTCGTCATTCTAGTTTTGATCGCTTCAGTCTAGTTTCGTAATTCTTGTTTAATCTTCGACAATGCACTGTGATGAAGTTTCGAGTTGAGGAAATATTTCCGTTATACATCTGAAAGTTCTCAATTCGTCGAAAATCACGTGATTTCGTGATCAAATGATTCTCAAAATTAATGAAATATAGCTCAATAACTGTCAAAAGGAAGAGTTTTATTACTGAGTATGTAAGCAGAAAAGATTTAATTTCGCGGACCCATCACTTCCTATATTTGGAAGAAGAAAAAAGTTACTCTAACTGATTAAAGTGGCTGTTAACATGCCTCCCTCCAAAACAAAATTAATGTGTTGGAGCGATTATTAAAACTTGCTCCGATTAAAAAAATTTTTTAAGGTGGTTAAGCATTCAAGTGAAATTTTTATTTGTCATAGGCAACCAATGGATTTGATAATTACAATAAAAGTAATAATATATTTAATCAGTGTGACTTCAGAACTTGACCTCAGAATAATGGGGTAAACTTAGATTAACGTTAGTTTTCTTTCTCATCTTTATTTTTCCATTTTTTTATTTATTGATCACTTTACGTTATGTGTATCAAATTACTTTTGTTTCCTTCATTCACGTCTTTCAAGTCTTGTCCTGTTTTTGAGACGTTCGAAGCATGTCGACTGTTATTTTTTAAGCGAATGAAGTTTCTAATTAAATTATAACCGTAGTGTAGTTTTATTATATATATATATATATTTGCTTCGCATTTATTGTTCCGTATTTTTATTTTTTTCGTTTTTGTTTTAGATCACAGTCAATGGTCAAGTTCCGGGCCTGCAAACCCAGACGCTGAACAAATTCGAAAGGGTCGTCACAGTACAGGATAAGCCAGTGGAAAAAGAAATAGTCAAACCTCCTACTCCAACCAATGGCTTCAGAGTCACGGTTACGGATAGATCCAGGCAGTTTGAAAATGGCTGCAATACTACTGCAGCTAAAAGCAAAACAGGGACTTTGGTTGAAGTCACCCCTTGGACAACCAGGCTCTAACTGTTATCGTTTTTGAACTACTGTGCAATACAAGATGCTCAACATTATTTGCTGTATTTCTATGTCAAAAGTTTGAAAGCATGGACGTCATAGTCAAGCGAGGGGGATTTTTGGACATATTTTTGATGAGGTTTTTTATTAAGAGTTTCAACAGTATTCTATTCTTTTTCATGTACATATTTCAATACCAAAGTAAATCCATTTCATACCAGTATTTAAAAAATATTTCTCCAAGTATCTCATGGATATACACCGAAGAGCCATTACATTATGACCACACTGCTAATAACATGTAGGACCACCTTTAGCCCTCAAAACTGTTAGCACCCGCCGTGGCATTGATTCATCAAGGTGCTAATAGGTAGTCTGAGGTATCTGGTACCAAGCACTCACCAACTGGTCCTGCAATTCCCTCGCATTGCGAGGGGGTAGCGTGGCAGCACGAATTTGGTTTTCCAAGTAGGACCACAAATGCTCTATTGGATTAAGGTCAGGTGAATTTGGGGGCCAAGACATGACTTAAAAGTCACTGGAATGCTCCTCGAACCAATCCATGACGATTCGACCCTTATGACATGGTGCATTATCCTGTTTGTAAACACCCTCCCCAGCAGGAAAAACTGTTGCCATGAATGGGTGAACCTGGTCTGCAACTATGTTCAAGTAGCTTACAGACGTCAGGGATTGTTCTATGAGGATTATGGGTCCTAATGTGCCCCATGAAAACATTGTTCCTGGGCGAGAAACCATGAAAATCTGGGCGATCCCATTGTTATAGATGGAGGGTGGTCATAATGTAATGGCTCTTCGGTGTATGTATGATAAATAAATTGCATAGATTTTGCCATTTCGAAATATTTCCATGATGATAATTGCAAAAATGTAAATGATTATATGCGTGGCATGATATAGATTCTTTAATCTAGATTTGTGTCTCCAAAGTTGAAAGATGGAAAATGTAAACAATATATTTTCAATGCATATATTGCATCCAAGTATGCATCATGTTGCACACGCATAATTATGTGGTTTGTAAAGTATTTGTATACTGCAATATTGGAAAACAAAACCTTAATTAAATTCAGTAATATCTATTTTTTTAAATAAAGCAGAAGCAAAAGTTTTAAAATCAATATTTTGTGTACGTCGAATGCATGAATATGTTGTATGTATAATGCATTTATTACGTTATGAATTCTGCTAAATAATCAAAGGGATTACTCTTATTATCTTTTTTTTAGTATTTTCAATTTTATCATTTCAATCATTCATCATAATATAAAATTGCTGCCTGTAGGACATTTTTTTCATTAAATTTCATGACGTATGCTAGTAAATGTCGATTTTATAGATATAACTTTCGAATTTTCTAAAATTTCAAACAAATTTCTATAATTTTTTAAATCTGTTATTTTCAGCTTTGCTTAAAAAAGTTTAGTTTTCTTCTTTAAAAAATGTCTCATATATAATTTTGTTTTAAAGTTTGTAAGACAGCTGTTATAATACTTTTTTATTATTTTTTTTTTAGAAAAATATTTTTTAGTCGTAGTAATTCATTTCTGATGGTATGTATATACACATGCATGTAAATGTATGCATATACTGCATAAATTGAGTAAATGGAAGCTAAATGGATGTACATTTGAAGCGTGCAAGGTTCATAAAAATGAATGAAGTTTTTCATTTACGAAAAATATCATCATTAGCGTAAAAAACGCAAATTTTATTTTAATTAAAAATGACTTATTTTTTGAAATATAATTTCCCAGCTGTTTTTAAATTTGGTTCAACATTATATGATGTAGAATTTTCAGTAACTTTTATATTTTGTGTTGAAATAAGTTTTCATAAGTATATGAAGTCATCTGTCATCATTGTATTCTTAACTATGTATGTTACATATTTTGTATGTGCATGTAATAAAGGTAGGTTTGTTACGCATGTATTGAAATAAAAAGAAAACATCGTTGTAACTTCTTGTCAATAAAATTACGAAATGAGAATATTTTTTTTTAAATTCAAGAAATTATTTAGTTTTACGCTATTAAAACAGTACCCAATGATGAATAATTTTGCGAATTTACTTTAAAAAAAATATTTTTATGTTTTTTCTTTAATTTTCTGTAAGTTTTTATTTATATTTTTCTACGGCTATGCAATAGATTTATAAAATAATATGTAGAATTTAAGAAGCAGCGGTGGTGGGGGAGTAATTGTTTTTCACTTGAACTTAAATTCACTATCTTGTAAATAATTATATTATTTTTTCAAAGAGCAAACTATAAAATTAGTATTAGTGCAAAAAGCATGGAATTATTATAGCCAGACTACCACCAAAATGACTCAAAATAAGTACTTAACGTATAACTAATTATTTAACACTATTTAAATTATTACTTATGACAACATTACAAAACTAATTATTATAGATGACCATAGTGTTATCAATTTAGATAGAAAAATACCCGCATTTTTAGTGCCACATAAGAATCATAAACAGATTACTATATCGAAAATTTTCCTTCATTAATAAAATCATCCTCAACCTATTTTTAAACTACTAAAAGCTAGAATAAATATCTGGCATTAATTTTAACACTACTACTAATGGACACACTGCTATTGCTACTAAAGAACTCACTTTTTACTCGATTTGCTCATCGATTGCTACGCTACCCTTTCGATTTTAATGATAGACATATTGTTGTATCAAAATTTAAAAAAAAAAAAATATTTAAAAAAATCCAATTTTTCATTGCATTGATACAGATTTGGTTCTGAAGATTGAATTTCCAATTCTATTGGAATTAAATTGCAACCATAATCCTTTTGCTTGGTTATCATAGCAATTTCTTCCTCAAACTTATTTTTTAAAATTCTCCTTTAATATTTGGTAAATAAAAAAGTTCGTTAAATGTTTTTCATCTAACACATTATTTAACAATATTGTGAAAAGTTTATTCATAATATTGCTTAACAATTTTAAACAGCTATATTGTATTCATTATTTTAATTTCATAATAATGACAGGGCACAGTTTTACATAGAAGTTACGAAAAAGCAAACATATTTTTATTTTCCAGTTAATAAATGTTAGACGTCAACTAAATATTAATCTTTAAACCTAATATTTTAATTTAAATTTATATCAAACGTAAATCTTTGCTGTATTGCTTTATTTCAATTACTTTTTTTTCAATCAATTACCCCATTTCACCATGAACTGGTAACCAACCCTCCTTCCTCAAAAATATAATTTCCAATTTTATTGTTATTCATATGTGAATAAAAATTACCTTTCCTCATTTTTAAATAACATTTAAAAACATTGCTGCTCTGTTGGCATCACAAATTTAACTGTCTAAATGCATTACATTCGATCATGAAATACAGTTAGTTTTCATACTATGGCGTTTTTTTTTTAATCACATAGCTTTTTGTTTTGTTTTCTTAAATACACGTGTAATGATTTTCATCGAAATTTTTAAGTAACAGGAGTTTGAAATAATAATGATTTTAGTAATAAGAAATACATACCATCTAAACAATAATTATAATATTTAAAACAACTGCTGTTCTCACGCATACTGATTCAAAACTTTGGTTTATTTCGTCTATCATCAATGTGATACTGCTATATATTTAACTTGTTATGCTTTCAATTACATAATGATTATAATTATAACCTTACATTACAAAATCAATGAAGTCCAAACATTTTAAAAAATAAATTAGAAAAAAACATTAAGTATCTGCTTACAATCTTAAACACTAACAAAAATTTGTTTTTAATACATTACAAATAAACAAGTCCTCATATTGAGCTACTTAATAAAATAAAGGAATGATTCTTTCACATTTACATATTTCTCAAATTTATAAACTCGTTTTCCAATTCGTAAACTTGAAATTTTGGAATTATAACCATTAGCTGATTTCCGCATTAAATCAAATATAATTGGGTATAATATGAAAAAAGCACAACTACTTCCACTTACTAGGAATAACATTTACCTTTTAGTTTAATTAATAAACTGAGTTTTAAATATGCTTACTAAATTCATAAACTTCGGTAAAACAACAATATAAATTATTTGCAAAGGAACTAGACTAATACAATTCCAACCTGGCGAGTAGCAACTTATAACAAGACACTTCGTTTGATGCTTTTACTTGTTGCTAGAAATCAGGCTCGCAGAAAATGCTGTTTACTAGTTAAATTTAGTAGGAATAACACGATCTGTGACGTAGCCTATAGTATACCCAATTCTTCTTAAGATTTATGATCGTTTGATAAATATCAGTAAAAATATATCAGTTGATAATTTAGTCTTAAATAGCACTGGAATATGCTTTATGCTTGAAGCAGACGACTTTTTTTTTAAACATTTGCAGCAAATAGTGTTTAAAAATTTTTCCTTTGACTATTATTTATCCGAGATATTTTGTAGTTGCAGATGAAATTCTAATTATGCAGTTTAGGTTTTCTTTTGTCCAATAAACTTAGCTTTTAGTTGCAAAAGTGTATTTTGTTTTTCGAAATAATTTAACAGGCCGACTTTTTTTAGTTTCTAACTAAATATGAAAATATCATTTATTCTCCACTGTATTTCCGTATTGAATGGAAAATATTATTTAGCTAATAAAAAGACAAAGCTACTATAGGTAAGTTTTTTGTTTATCTCATAGTTTGTAATGTTTTTCCTCAGCTAACATTATTATCTTTTACTTAAATTAAGAACTATAATTTTTATCAACTTTTTTTGAAAAGTGTGTAATCTAGGTCAAACTTCTTTAGTCGCTTTGACTCACTGAAAGGGAATTTTGACCAATGGGAATTAAAGCAGTTATTGAAACCTGTGCAACAATAAATAAATGTGGAAAGAAATGTTACAGACAATAATTGTGACTAAAATATTGAATATAATCATTTATTTAAATATTGAACAGATATTGAAATATTGAATGCTCATTTAATGATAAAAATATACCAAATCTGATATTTTTAAATGAAATTTGTTTGAATTACTAAACCGAATTATCTGAAGACAATTATATTACATATCTAATTCTATCATCTATTTATCAAAGTTTTCTTTATTTTTCCTTAATATAATGCCAATGTTTTTATTCTATTTTACCTGCATAGATAGAGGTGGATAGGGTTACCTGCAAATTACTTAATTTCTGACTTTCTAATATCAAAGGTTGTTTAATTGGCAGTTTGTAAAAAACTATAAAAAGCACATTCAAGTAAGAAGTACAATTAGGGTGACCTTTACGGGCGACATTATCGATCTTTAGTATATTTATCTAAGTACACA